TGAGCCCCCAAAGCTCTACCAAACCTGACCTGTACATAGTCATACAACTGCCATACACCCTGCCCAGCATAGACAATGGTGAGGCATGGGAGCTGCAGTCCAAAAACACCAGAAGAATTATAGTCACATATTCCCAATTAATGTTTTTTCCTTGCTTGGGAACATGAGCCACAATGTTTCGGGAATTGAGATCTTTAGGATGCAAGAATCTCTTCAAAGTGATGCCAGCTGTGATTCAGATGGGCACGTGCCCAGCGTGCAAGATATCATCTGGTTGTGAACTATCTGGATACATTTCGAGAAGTCTCTTTATGCATTCATACCAAACACACAAAGTAATAATAACAACACTTTAATAACAACAAAGTAATAATACAAACACTTTAATAACAACAAAGTAATAATAATAACAACAAAGTGATAATAACAACAACACTCAGACTACACAGAGAAGCCATTGAAATCCACAAGCATGTGGACAATTTCAACAGAAAGGAAGAGACCATGAAAATGAACAAAATTTTGGCTACCAGTATTAAAAAACTCTAAAATTACAACAGCAAAACAGCAGAGAGGAAACAACCAGGCACATCTTAACACCTCTCAACAAAAGATTTTCCCAGGCTCAGCCAGGCCTTCAAATGCTAATGAAGGTGGTCAGCTGAAACATTCACACCCAGCTCCAGCTGAGAAGAGCTCTTTGCCCCACCCCAGCCATTCCACAGATATATAAACCCATTGTCCTAATTCCAACAGACCTCACTACCTCTGAGGATGCTTGCCATAGATGCAGGCGAAACGTCAGGAGAAATGCCTCTAGAACATGGCCCTATAGCCCGAAAAAACCCACAAGAACCTAATAACAACACTTTATTTATATCCCGCTCTATCGCCCAAGGGACTCAGGGCGGATTACAGTACACATACACGGCAAACATTCAATGCCGTTTGGACAGACAGGACAGAAACAGACAGACAGAAGGTACGTTGTGCCAACGTCCAGCTTTTTTTGGCACCTTTTGAGATTGCGTTCGTATCCAGCTGCAGGCGGGTGCTGTTGTTCCATCCTCTATGACGAAGAGCCATCAGGACTTCCTCCTTCCTTTTTGTTTTGATCTTTTTCTTTTATGGTGTCGTAAAATACCTCCCTCGCTTTTTAGTGGTACCTAATTTCTCTACTTACACCTCTAAGCTGTTTTCAAACTGCTTAGGTCAGGGGTCCACAAACTTTTTAAACAGAGGACCAGGTCACAGTCTCTCAAACTGTTGGAGGGCCGGTTTATAATTTGAAAAAACATGAATGAATTCCTATGTACACTGCACATATCATATTCATTATGCAAAAAAAAAAAAAAAAAAACCCACACACTTAAAAATGGTACAATAATTAAAATGAAGAACAATTTAAACAAATATGAACTTATAAACTTATTAGTATTTCAATGGGAAGTGATAGGATTGTTGTTGTTGTTGTGTGCTTTCAAGTCATTTCAGACTTAGGTTGGCCCTGAGCGGGGGCTGGGTAAATGACCTTAGAGGGCCGTATCTGGCCCTCGGGTCTTAGTTTGAGACCACCCTACCTGCGTGACCGCATCGCTGTCTACGAACCGACACGCTCACTCCGGTCATCTGGAGAGGCCCTGCTCGTGATCCCGCCCGCGTCACAAGCGCGCTTGGTGGGGACGCGAGACAGGGCCTTCTCCGTGGTGGCCCCCCGCCTCTGGAACGCCCTCCCGAAAGATCTCAGACAAGCCCCTACACTGGCAGTCTTCAGAAAGAATTTGAAAACCTGGCTGTTCCAATGTGCCTTTTCAGATTAGGAATCTCTCACTACCAAATCCCAGAAGCACTTTAGTACCATTACCTTCACGTTATTCATAAATTCAAATGCTCCCCAGGTTCTGGTGGAGGGAAATGGAGAAAAACCCATATCCTCTGAAGATCGTTGATTACACAAGCCAACAAAATCAAACTTTTTGCAATTATTAGAAATTCGAGTAGCAGAATTTAAATCAATTTTAATGCTGATTTTAAATGTCTTTATTTTTTTCCACATCACGACAACTTTTTAAAATATGACGAATGGTACATTTCACATCATATTAGTGTAACACAAGCCAACAAATATTTTTCATCAGATATGATTTTAGGTCATTCTTATAAAGTTTTTATTTTTGCACTGAATTTAAATCTCTGTTAATTTTTTTCTCTATCACGTGTAGTTTTTGCAATGAGGCTAATTGAATAATTGATGCATTTACTCACTGATATCAATAGAATCTAATTAACCACAAGGAAACAACTATTTCTCATCAGATATGATTTTAGGTCATTCTTATAGATTTTTTTTCATTGAATTCAGATCTGTATTCATTTTTTTTCTCTGTCACATATAGTTTTTGCAATGAGGGTAATTGAATAATTAATACATTTGCACACTGATGTCAATTAGATCAGCGTTTCTCAGCCTGCGAATCAAGACATCTGGGGGGGTCGCAAGGGGGTGTCAGAGGGGTCGCCAAAGACCATCAGAAAACACAATATTTTCTGTTGTCATGGGGGTTCTTCGTAGGAAGTTTGGCCCAATTCTGTCGTTGGTGGGGTTCAGAATGCTCTTTGATTGTAGGTGAACTATAAATCCCAGCAACTACATCTCCCAAATGTCAAGATCTATTTTCCCCAAACTCCACCACTGTTCACATTTTGGCATATTGAGTATTTGTGCCAAGTTTGGTCCAGATCCATTATTGCTTGAGTCCACAGTGCTCTCTGGGTATAGGTGAACTACAAATCCAAAACTCAAGCTCAGTGCCCACCAAACCGTTCCAGTATTTTCTCTTGGTCATTGGAGTTCTGTGTGCCAAGATTGGTTCAGTTTCATCATTGGTGGAGTTCAGAATGCTCTTTGATTGTAGGTGAACTATAAATCCCAGCAAGTTCAATTCCCAAATGACAAAATAAATCCCCCCCCCCCCAACCCCACCAGTATTCAAATTTGGGCATATCGTAGGTATTTGTGCCAAATTTGGTCAAGTGAATACATCCTCCATATCAGATATTTACAATACAATTCTTAACAGTCGCAAAATAATACTTATGAAGTAGCAACAAAAATAATGTTATGGTTGGGGGTCAGCACAACATGAGGAACCGTATTAAGGGGTTGCGGCATTAGGAAGGCTGAGAAACACCATATTAGTGTAACACAAGCCAACAATTATTTTTCATCAAATATAACTTTAGGTCGTTCTTATTGAGTTTTTTTTGCACTGAATTCAAATCTGTGTTTATTTTTTCTCTATCACGTGTAGTTTTTGCAATGAGGCTAATCACATAATTACATTTACGCACTAATATGAATAGAATCGAATTAACCACAAGTCAACAAGTCTTTTTAATCAGATATAATTTTAGGTCATTCTTATAGAGTTTTTTGCACAGAATTCTGATCCCTGTTTATTTTTTTCTCTATCGTGTATAGTTTTTGCGACAAGGCCAATCGAATAATACATTTATGCACTGATATCAGATTCTATTGATACCATTGTGTAAATGCATTAATTCAATTAGCCTCTGGAGGCCCTTACCAGCAACCACATAACCACAGCAACCATCATCTAATCCACTGTTCTGGGGTGCAACCATCATCTAATCCACTGTTCCAGAGATGCATTCCCAGCGGAATTCTGCTGCTCCCTGCTCTGCCGGTCAGGAGTGAGGTCAGAGATACCCTAACGGCCTTACCGGAAGTCCCAGAACTAGACGCTCTGTGCCGGAGTTCTGTTGATTTGGCCTACAGGCCTCTGGCACAAAGTGTCTACACTACGCTACAGCAAATGTTTCATCCTGCTACAGCAAATGTATCATCCTGCTACAGCAAATGTTACATCCTGCTACAGCAAATGTTTCATCCTGCTACAGCAAATGTTTCATCCTCGGTTCCTGCACCTTGTGGTTCAGGAGCCGACGATGAAACGTCCTTCTCGGCATGCAGCCCCATACTTCTCTGTATGCGGCCGCATACGGCCACATGTCATCAAAAATGGCTACGCGTGTCAGTGCTGACATGCATGTCATAGGTTCACCATCACGGACCTAAAATGATATCTGATGAAAAATACTTGTTGGCTTGTGTTATTACTCTCAAACAGTCAAATGTCAACTGTGACGATGTGTAACTTTTATTCTTATGGTTATGTGTTGTTTAAACAGTAGTTAATAAACAGTAAGTATATAGGATTATATTTTGTTAGAGATAGTGGTTGGTGGCTGATTTAGCCTGAGCTGAGTTGCCATAGCAACGGGGCGGAGCCAACTGCCTCTTCACAGGGCAGCTGTTTGAAAGTGGCAGTCTGTAAGCCGGTGAGCTACAGGGAAGACTGAATCTCTGGGTGGAGATTCAGGGAATTAATTTGTGACCAAAGGGGTTACAGGAAAGGACCCGGTAGTGATAAAACTACAGGGAGTTATTGATTCTGGGTTAAGAATCAAGGTTTGGCTGGGAGCCAATTCTGTTAAATAAGCCTTTTAGCTTATTTGTTTTATTAGGACAGTTGTCCAGGAAAAATACATCTGCTTATAGAAACCTCTTAAAGTCTGTACCTAAAGTTACTCATGAAACCTTACTAATGTAACCAGTCAAGATTCATGCCTCTTGTGAAGAAACAATCAAATCTGTTATATCTTGCTTGTTCCAATAAAATTGTTACTGTTCTCCTCAAGCCTTGCCTGATACAGTTTCTCCTAAGTCAAACAGCCTGCATAAGAAGTAAAGTAAAGCCAGGGACAGTAAATGCTCCGCTATCAATACTTCTGTAAATAATAGTCCCTTTATAAACCAGCTCATAAGCTGATATTGATCATTGCCCGGCTTTCCTCACAGATTAGGTGGCAGTAGTTTTACCCTCCTTTACATCAACTTTTAAAAATCTGTGCACACAGCATTGTTCTTTTGACTGCTCTTCTCTCCATTGTTGTTGACCTTCTCTCTCCTTCTCCAGACCCTCTTGCTTATGACCCCAAGCCGGGTTCAGAGAACCTCCCCATCATCACCATCGACCCGGCCTCCCCGCAGTCTCCGGAGTCTGTCGACCTGGTGAATGAAGCGCTGAAGGGGATGAACCGCCTCCCGCCATCCCCGGAGGAGGACGAAGACGAGACCGGGCTGGTGATGAGAGCCAAGGAGCCTTCCTCTCCGGGCACTGACGATGTCTTCACGCCCGGGACTGGGGACAGCCCCAGCAACCAGCGGATCATGCGGTGCCTGAGTGACCCTGGGCCAAGGCCCGATCCTGAGGAGGGGGAGCCCTTCATCCCCAAAGGGCAGTGAGCCCCGAAATGCACTACTAGATGGGACTTGTAGGGGGAGGTTCCTGCACGTTCACACAAACACAGACAACTCTCTCGTACATATCCATCACAGACTCTTTCCTCTTCTCTCTTGCTTTCTCTTCTCTCACTCAGTGTCTCTCCATCGATCATTCTCTCTCTGCTTCTGGGTTGTGGGGGGGTTTTTGGCTTTCATTTTGGAAGCTTTGTGCAGTAGTGAGAGAGCGGGTAGATTTTTGAAGGCAAGAATTTGTCACAGTAGCCTTCTCCTGGGGGAAAAAAAAGAAAGAAAAGCCAGTCTCCTCTCATTGAAAGAGTGTCTTGCTCAGGATTAGGCATGCTTTACTCTGTTAACGTTGTCTTCTGCAGTGCCAAAGGAACTGCGTATTTTTTCTTTTTGCGTGAGTGAAACCTCTTGTCCATTTGCACTTCAGAGAGCCAGTTTTGACGGTGGTTTGTTGGTTACTGCTGTTTTCCCCCGTTTGTCCAAAACATACCAGAAAATGGGTTGCTGTAAATCACACAATGATTTATTTTAGACCAGTCACTACTTCTCAGTCTAACTTAGTTGCGAAGGAGAGGCATTATTGGGGTGCTGTGAGTTTTCCAGACTGTGTGGCCATGTTCCAGAAGCATTCTTCACCCACATTTATGGTAGTCATCGTCAGAGGTTGTGAGGTGTGTTGGAGACTAGGCAAGTGGGGTTTATATATCTGTGGAATGATGTCCGGGGTGGGAGAAAGAACTCTTGTCTGTTGGAGTCAAGTGTGAATGTTGCAGTTGGCCATCTTGATTAGCATTGAATAGCCTTGCAGCTTCAAGGCTTGGCTGCTTCCTGCCAGGGGAGGCTTTCCAATGCTAATCAAGGTGATCAAGTGCAGCATTCCCACTTGACAAGAAACAATCATGACCAGCTAATCTCTCCCAACAAAGGATTCCCCCAGACGGGAAGCAGCTAAGCTTTGAAGCTTCAAGACTTTTCAATGCTAGTCAAGTTGGAGCAATCACACTTGGCCTGAAGCAGACAAACGTTGAGGAAGGGGCGGACTGCCCTACTTTCCGGACATTTCTGCATTCCATAGATAGATAAACCCTGCTTGCCTAGTTTCCAACAGACCTCACAACCTCTGAGGATGCCTTCCATAGCTGTGGGCAAAACATCAGGAGAGAATGCTTCTGGAACATGGCCATGCAGTCCAGAAAACTCATAGCAACCCAGTAATTCCAGTCATGAAAGCCTTCAACAACACATCACACCAGAAAAGCTGAAGAAAAGTTGCTAACATCTGGATTTAGCCGAGATTATGGCTGGATTGTTGGACCGATCCCTCTTCTGCTTTCCTGTGGATTGATTATTGCTGGGCAGACATGTCCAAGGCAAGTCATGAAACTGGATTTCTAAGAGAGACCAAGTTTGGCTTCAGCTCACCTACTCTACTTTAGTGTACCATCTGCCAGAGTTCATGTTGGGAGTCTTCCAAGCTCCTCCCCAAAAAATGATTTTTGGAATATCTGCATCACTGAGGCTTCAAGCCCAGTGGATATCCGTAGCTGTGTTTTTAAATAGCATGTCCAGCTTGTAAAGAGTTTGGGATTGTAACCGATCACTCCATCGGAAATGCCGTACTATCCGACGCAACTTTCTAAATTGGACGATGCTTGGAGCACAGCTTGGAAAAGTTGCTGCTTTGGGCGACAGGTCTCACTATCCCTAAAGTGCATGCCTCTTTCTCCTTCACAAGACCATCTAGGTCAGGCATGGGCAAACTTGGGCCTTCAAGGTGTTTTGGACTTCCAACTCCCACCATTCCTACCAGCCTCAGGCCCCTTCCTTTTCCTTTTCACTTAAGCGGCTGAGGGGGGAAAGGAAGGGGCATGAAGCTGTTAGGAATGGTGGAAGTCCAAAACACCTGGAGGGCCCAAGCTGCCCATGCTTGATCTAGGTTCACATTCAGCCGCTGGCACTTGTCTAAATCAGCAGATTATGTGTTCTCTTGCTGATCACTCCACATGTTCTTCTTTCCTGGAATTATCCAGACTCTCTTCTCATGATTTAAATAACCTTTTATTAAGGCACTCAAAAGAGCATTTTGTTGACCAAAGATGAATACATGGTTGTACATAATGGAATTTGCGCATTATTATTATTATTATTTTTAAAAAGACAGGGTATCTCTTTTGTAAGAAGAGGCGATAAATGATTCCGCAAAAGGGCAATGGGATACTATTAAAAGAACTCACTGTCCCCTGTTCTAGCTCAGGAAAGAAATACTAAGTTCTCTATCTCTCTGTAACCAAAAGCTTTAATCTTTTTTCTCCCCCTTTTTTTTGAAGCCTCAGATTAAGTACTTGGGTCCCTTCGCCTTTTAGCAATACCTGACCCGGGGAAGATGTTATTCTCAACTAGTTTGCTTCGTCACATACCCGTCCCCAATCGGGAAGAGTTACTTTCTGGTCTTCAGCTCCCAGTATTGCCCAAACAACAGGGGCAGTGGGGGATTCAAAGAGTAATCGTCCAAAAAGTAACTTTCTCAAGCTCTCTTCCTGTCCCCAAAAGAGCATACAGTAGAGTCTCGCTTATCCAACCTTCACTTATCCGACATTCCGTCTTAACCGACGTTCCTCTTTTTCTCCAGCATTTCTCCCTCAAATAAAGGACTGCTCCCCAACTCTCTCTCTCTCCATTCCCAATAAATGAAAAAGGCAACACAAGGAGGAGGGTGGAAAGGGGGAAAAGAGGCAGGACCAAAAGCGGAAGCGTCCTCCCTCCTTTCCTCTGTGATTTCCATGCTCCTCTTCCGCATCCGGGCACTTCCTGCTGGGCCGTTCCAGCCCCAAGACGTTGCCTTGCTTTAACTCTTTGAGTCCCAGTTGTTAGTGTTCTAGGTGCCTAGCACCTCGTCAAACGGGACTCTGTATTATCCGACATTTCCGTTTATTCAACGTTCTGCCGGCCCGTTTATGTCGAATAAGCGAGACTGTACTGTATTTGCAACTGGCTTCTAACACGTTCCTTTACAAACTCTTTTCAGCTCCATTCTTCTCTTGCCTGCCAGCCTACATAGCAGTCATTTTTAACCTGTGGGTCCCCAGATGTTTTGGCCTTCAACTGCCAGAAATCCTAACAGTTGGTAAATTGGCTGGGATTTCTGGGAGTTGTAGACCAAAACACCTGGGGACCCACTGGTTGAGAAGCACTGCTCCATAGCATTCTACCTACCTTTTCTCCACTATAGTCATTACCTTTCTGTAGGAAAGGATTGAGTACGCTTCAGCCCTCCAGATGTTTTGGCCAGCCAACCTCACAAATGGTACACAATATGTGGAAGGCCTATTCCAGAAGGTGGTAGACTTCCCTATGCCTCTCCCAGCTTAGCTTTCCCTTTCTCCACATCCTTTGCATATCTACCATCCCACATTTCTGCGAATCCTATTCTTACACTATCCCTGGATGCATATAAAACACTCTCATCATCCTTGCCAATCCTATAGCCTGAACCTAGTTTTATATATAGTAGAGTCTCGCTTATCCAACATAAACGGGCTGGCAGAACATCGGATAGACGACAATGTTGGCTAATAAGAAGTAATTAAGGAAAAGCCTATTAAATGTCAAATTACGTTATGATTTTACAAATTAAGCACCAAAACATCGTGCTTTACAACAAATTGACAGAAAAAGCAGTTCAATACAGGGTAACGTTATGTAGTAATTATTGTATTTACCAATTTAGCACCAAAACATTGCAATGTATTGAAAACATTGCCTAGAGCAGGGGTCCTCACACTTTTTAAACAGAGGGCCAGGTCACAGTCCCTCAAACTGTTGGAGGGCCGGATTATAATGTGAAAAAAATATATATGAATGAATTCCTATGCACACTGTAGATATCTTATTTGTAGTGCAAAAAAACACTTAAAACAATACAATAATTAGAACGAAGAACAATTTTAACAAATATAAGCTTATTAATATTTCAATGGGAAATGTGGGCCTGCTTTTGGCTGATGAGATAGGATTTTTGTTGTTGTGTGCTTTCAATTTATTTTATTTATTTACTTTATTTCTATACCACTTTTCTCAGCCCTCAGGCAACTCAAAACGGTGAACAACATCAATACAAAACATCACAAAACCAGTATAGGGCAATTAAAAACAATTATAATATAACTCATTAACATCCGTATAACAATCATTAGCGCCTCAACAGTAAAATCAGAATCCAGTCTCATCATCCATTATTCCACATTCCTATGTTCAATTACAGTGTTTAATCAAATGCTTGTTCAAACAGCCAGGTCTTCACTTTCCTCCGAAACGCCAGCAGAGAGGGGGCCGATCTGATATCTGCAGGCAGGGCGTTCCACAGCCGAGGGGCCACCACTGAGAAGGCCCTGCCTCTCATCCCCACCAAGCGCGCCGGTGATGCAGGCAGGATAGAGAGCAGGGCCTCCCCAGATGATCTTAGTATCCTATTCGGTTCATAGGAGGAGATGCGTTCGGAGAAGTAAGTAGGGTCAGAACCGTTTAGGGCTTTATAGGCTAAAGCCAACACTTTGAATTGTGCCCGGTAGCAAACTGGCAGCCAGTGGAGCTGGCGCAACAGAGGAGTAGTATGTTCCCCGAGTGCCGCTCCTGTTAGCAACCTGGCTGCCGAGCGCTGGACCATTTGAAGCTTCCAAGCAGTCTTCAAAGGCAACCCCACGTAGAGAGCGTTGCAGTAGTCTATATGGGATGTAACCAGAGCGTGGCCAAGTCAGACTTCCCAAGTTGTTTCAGACTTAGGTTGACCCTGAGCGAGGGCTGGGTAAATGACCTACGGCCCTCAGGCTTTATTTTGAGAACCCCTGGCCTAGGGGAAACAACTGTGGATACGGGCAGGAGAATACATTGGATAATACAGAACGTTGGATGAGCGAAGATTGGATAAGCGAGATTTTACTGTATTAAGGAGGTGTGCTGTTGATTATTCTACAATTCTGTGTAAATCCACATTGCAAGCGATATAGAGATCCCAAGACACATTGCTTGCTGCTGGTGAGGATTCGAACCATGCTGTGCTTGTGTTCAGTTTGAAAGTCCTCCTCATTTGCAGACAAGCATTCAGCCACGCCATTATCCAGGCATAATCCACAAACCATTTAACTATACCATGTGCATTTTGACCTCAGCCAAAGATGTTTTTACATTGCAGGGGTTCCCCATTACTTCCGGGCGCTTGAAGAAAGAAAAGTCTGGAAGGGGGACTGGTCCAGTGAGGTTGCTTTGACAGCAGATGTAGAGAACCTCGGACTCTCCTGTTGTTTTGGACTACAGTTCCCAAAATTTCTCACCCCTTGACCATGTTGTCCAGGGCTCCTTCCTCCGCTTTTCCAAACCTTGGGCTTAGAATGCCCACTCCTGGGAATATCCAGTGACTCTTCTTCAAAACACATTCAATCCTCGTCTAAAAAAGGGGTCATTTTCAGTCCCGCGGGGTAGAATTGCCTCTTTTGGATCACGGGGAAGGAGTCACGACACCAAGATCTCCAGAATTTGCCCTTTTCCAGCTTCACAGAGTGTCACAGGTTGGCTTTAAAAAAAAAAGTGAGTAGGACCCTGTTTCTGTCCTACATCAGAATTCCAAAGTTGGTTGATCACATTTATTTATTTTCTCAGTATTTAGGTAGGTTTTCTTTTTCAGAGTAAGGATGAGTGTACCTTGCATGCATGGCTGTGGAGAGTCAGGAAGGAAGGAAGGGTGGGTGCATAGATCTGTTGCTGGTTTTGCACTTTAGACGTGACTCTGTCCCCCAGACTTCTCTTCAAGGACTGTGCCATGCTGGTGCCTGCTGACCCCCTTCTGCCCAAGTAGGTCTTAGGCCTCCTCCCAACCCTACCCTGAAAGGGACCTTCCCCCATCTCTCTCCCCTTGCGCCGTGCCTTTTTTAGCCATACAGTGTCTGCCTGCGCAAAACGGTGTTGTGAATTTGCCGCTCTCTTCGTCCAGCCCAGAGGGCTAAGCCTAGGCCTGTCCATCGCTCTGTGTGCACCTGTCCGTCCTGCCACCCAAAACCAACCAACCCACCCCTCCTCCAGCACACCTGCCCTCGCTGGCAGTGGGGAGGGGCTGCAAGCGGCACAGGTAAGGGGAGGTGAGCGGCAGGAGGGGGCTCCACCTAGCTGGCCCCCTCCCCATACACAACTCTATGTCCCTCTGCCCAAGGTGGGCTTCTCTGGCGCTCGCTCGCGGCTTCAGCCTGAGTAGAGGCCAGTCGCCTGTATGTGCTTTCCTGCTCTTGTCTCCAGCGAGGAGCCGTTCAAGCAATGAAAACCGTTGTATAAATAAAATGTGTAAAGAGAGTCTTTTTACATAAATATTCTAATAAATGAATGTTTAAATTTTTCATGGCTGTGACGTTTATTCCAGGTCTGCTGTTCATGCCACCTGGGGTCAATGGCGTGTGCCATCTGTGACTTGCCATATATACTTGAATATGAGCCGAACCAAATATAAGCCGAGACATCTAATTTTGCCACACAAAAACTGGGAAAACCTATTGACTTGAGTATAAACTGAGGGTGGGAAATGCAGCAGCTACTGGTAAATTTCAAAATAAAAATAGTTACCAATAAAATTACATTTATTTATTTATGACATTTATATGCCGCCCTTCTCACCCCGAAGGGGACTCATAGCGCCTTACAGGGTATATTTATTTTTATTTATTTATCGTGTCAGCAGCAACCAGACATTTGTATTACATTTTTAACAAAAACAAACAAACAGTCAAAACACAAAGTTTGGAAGCTTGGTAGTTGATTAAATGTCCTTTGACCAGTCGCTGGCCACTTGGAGTGCCTCTGGTGTTGCCGCAAGAAGGTCCTCCATTGTGCATGTGGCAGGGCTCAGGTTGCATTGCAGCAGGTGGTCTGTGGTTTGCTCTTCTCCACACTCGCATGTCGTGGATTCCACTTTGTAGCCCCATTTCTTAAGATTGGCTCTGCATCTCGTGGTGCCGGAGCGCAGTCTGTTCAGCGCCTTCCAAGTCGCCCAGTTTTCTGTGTGCCCAGGGGGGAGTCTCTCATTTGGTATCAGCCATTGATTGAGGTTCTGGGTTTGAGCCTGCCACTTTTGGACTCTCGCTTGCTGGGTGTTCCAGCGAGTGTCTCTGTAGATCTTAGAAAACTATTTCTTGATTTAAGTCGTTGATGTGCTGGCTGATACCCAAACAGGGGATGAGCTGGAGATGTCTCTGCCTTGGTCCTTTCACTATTGGCTGCTACTT